TTTATACACATATACATACCCATATCCCTTGTCTACCATTCTATGTATGTGCAGTTCCGGGTCCGGTATGTGCTGGACCGTGGTGTGCATGCTTTTCCGGGTTCGGCGAAAGGTCCGGACCGTGGTTTACACACATATACATACCCATATCCCTTGTCTACCGTTATATGTGTGTGCAGTTCCGGGTCCGGTGTGTTCTGGACCGTGGTGTGCATGCCCTTCCGGGTTCGGCGAAAGCTTCGGACCGTGGTTTATACACATATACATACGCGTATCGCTTGTCCACCATTCATTATATGTATGTGCAGTTCCGGGTCCGGTATATATGCTGGACCGTGGTGTGCAAGCCCTGCCGGGTTCGGCGAAAGCTCCGGACCGTGGTTTATACACATATACATACGTGTATCCTTTGTGTACCGGGTCCGCTGTATGCTGGACCGTGGCGTGCGTAGACTTCCGGGTTCGGTGAAAGCTCCGGACCGTGGTATTATACATATACTTATACCTATGTCTGTGCACATCTATCAATACGATGGTATTATACACTTTCTGGGGAGTATTCTAACTCCAGGATCGGCGCTACACAGACATGTACGCCTGGCCTTCTCAGGACACTGTGGCCTTCAAAATTCATTACAGAACCTGCAGATAGTGACAGATGGGGGCTATTTGCTTACTGCCAAGAAGAACTTATGCTGAGAACCGTTATATGTATGTGCAGTTCCGGGTCCGGTATGTGCTGGACCGTGGTGCGCATGCCCTTCCAGGTTCGGCGAAAACTCCGGACCGTGGTTTATACACATATACATACCCATATCCCTTGTCTACCGTTATATGTGTGTGCAGTTCCGGGTCCGGTATGTGCTGGACCGTGGTATGCATGCACTTCCGGGTTCAGCGACAGCTCCGGACCGTGGTTTATACACATATACCTACCCATATCCCTTGTCTACCGTTATATGTGTGTGCAGTTCCGGGTCCGGTGTGTTCTGGACCGTGGTGTGCATGCCCTTCCGGGTTCGGCGAAAGCTTCGGACCGTGGTTTATACACATATACATACGCGTATCGCTTGTCCACCATTCATTATATGTATGTGCAGTTCCGGGTCCGGTATATATGCTGGACCGTGGTGTGCAAGCCCTGCCGGGTTCGGCGAAAGCTCCGGACCGTGGTTTATACACATATACATACGTGTATCCTTTGTGTACCGGGTCCGCTGTATGCTGGACCGTGGCGTGCGTAGACTTCCGGGTTCGGTGAAAGCTCCGGACCGTGGTATTATACATATACTTATACCTATGTCTGTGCACATCTATCAATACGATGGTATTATACACTTTCTGGGGAGTATTCTAACTCCAGGATCGGCACTACACAGACATGTACGCCTGGCCTTCTTAGGACACTGTGGCCTTCAAAATTCATTACAGAACCTGCAGATAGTGACAGATGGGGGCTATTTGCTTACTGCCAAGAAGAACTTATGCTGAGAACCGTTATATGTATGTGCAGTTCCGGGTCCGGTATGTGCTGGACCGTGGTGCGCATGCCCTTCCAGGTTCGGCGAAAACTCCGGACCGTGGTTTATACACATATACATACCCATATCCCTTGTCTACCGTTATATGTGTGTGCAGTTCCGGGTCCGGTATGTGCTGGACCGTGGTATGCATGCACTTCCGGGTTCAGCGACAGCTCCGGACCGTGGTTTATACACATATACCTACCCATATCCCTTGTCTACCGTTATATGTGTGTGCAGTTCCGGGTCCGGTATATGCTGGACCGTGGTGCCGGATTCGGCGAAAGCTCCGGACCGTGATTTATACGCATACACATACCCATATCCCTTGTCTACCATTATATGTATGTGCACTTCCGGGTCCAGTATATGCTGGACCGTGGTGTGCATGCTTTTCCGGGTTCGGCGAAAGCTCCGGACCGTGGTTTATACACGTATACATACGCATATCCCTTGTGGGCCGGGTCCGCTGTATGCTGGACCGTGGCGTGCGTAGACTTCCCGGTTCGGTAAAAGCTCCGGACCGTTGTATTATACATATATATATACCTGATACTTATGTTTGTGCACATATATCAGTATGATCGTATTAGACACTGTCCGGTGAGTATTCTAACTCCAGGATCGGCGCTCCACAGACATCTACGCCTGGCCTTCTCAGGACACTGTCGCCTTCAAAATTTATAACAGCCTGTCGATAATGACAGATGGGGGCTATTTGCTTACTGCCAATAAGAACTTATGCTGAGAACCGTTATATGTATGTGCAGTTCCGGGTCCGGTATATGCTAGACCGTGGTGTGCGTGCACTTCCGGGTTCAGCGACAGCTCCGGACCGCGGTTTATACACTCGGTAGACAAACCGAATAACCTGGGTTCATCAAGATTCTTTGGAAGCTTGTGCTTTGGGTCGCGAGCCTTCAGAGTTTCGTAATCCTAAAATGACCGGACCAATCATGCTAGTCAATGAAGTTTCATTGTAGAAAGTAGGAGCGCGCGCTTGCTGTTTTGGAGGGAAGCTTGAGAACGCGCAGCCGCATCCTGCCAAGCAGAAAGTAGAAGACGCCATGCCCCAGAGGGTTTCCTGGACGGGAAAAAGGCGAGTCCCTGTAAAACCAAAGAACTTGAGCACGCTTGCTCTTCTGTTGTTGTTTTGCGAGGCGGGGAGGTAAGTCTGGGCGGCAGCGTCAGCAGGCGGGCAACTCCACGAACTCGGTCGGCATCTTGTTGAAATGCAATTGATACAGCCTGAAGACTGTTGTGTTGTTGCGTGTTCTTAGGTCCCGGAGCCGTCCACATCCTCTCGACCAACACGCAATGTGGAGGACTGGCTGCCGAGGGCAGAAGAGCTGTGGATCGACTTTCGGGTCGTTCTGCTTGCTCTTCTGCACGAATGGCACCAGCGACTCGCAAATTGGGCCAAGCATGTTGACCGCATAATTTGTTTGCGAGTGCAAGGTAGCAGTTCATGCGTAGCAGTTTTGGCGTTGGGTGATCTGTGAGAGCCCGAAAGTCTCTTGAAGAGACAGAGATAGCGTCTTTGCTCTTCTAAGGTCTGTAAAGTGCAGCAAGACTATTCTGGAACAGCAGAGCTTCCTTCTGCAAATGATCCAGGTGAGATAGTAGCAAGTCCTGGCACTTCTTGGTGATGGTTAAGAGTGTTTTGGTGCAAGGCTAAGTGGACTGAAACTGTGGGTGCGAACCGGACCGAGCTTCGCATACCGTCCGACTGGTTCGGGCGGCAGCTTGCTCCGGTGACCTTGGGTTTATTTGATGAGGCGGGACACGCAGGTGCTTCTTGGAGGTTAAATAAAGCACCGGAGCATTTTCAACAAGGCCCTGGAGCTCCTTCCCAACACGGAAGAGACTCTGCATCAACGCATCGGAAAGGCCATCAATTACCTCGAAGGCCGGCGTCGCTTGTTTACGTGCTTGAGAAACGCCATATTTTGTCCTCGCTCCATCGTCGTGTTAGGTCGAAAGGAGCCGCGCGAGTTGTCTGATGTTGATCGCTTTGAGAGGCTGACGGGCACAGTAGTTCGCGTAGACACCCTCAAGACTGGAAAGCTGGTGCACATGGAGTATAGTCTTGGGGGTCCTGCTCGCTTGATATCTTCCTTCGTGAAGCCCGATGAAAACCATCCCGTGGGTGCATCGAGGCATTTCTGCGTAGGCTGGCGCTGGGACCATTACGATAAAGCGTGGTGTCCTACAGCCAAGTACTTGAGCCAAGGCTAAGCCAAGCTGCTCAGGAAGTATGTTTTCCTCCAGACGAAGCTACACGGCCTCAGTTTCGCACAGCCCCAATGTAAAAGAAACAGTGTAGATGCCAGTCTGAATTCACTGATATCTGATTCCAAAGTGCAAGCTTCTAAAGAGTCTTGCTGAAGACAAATAAGCGCTTTAGCAGTAACAGTTAATGCGAGAGAAGAAGAGTCTGCTTGTTCAATGACTGTAGATCCACGAAGGCATTAGCAGCTGGACGCCGAGGTTCAGAGAACACTGCAGATGTGTACTTGCAATTTTCACTAGGTGTGAGAGGTGTGCGTGACAGATGCACACGCGAGGAACGCGCAGGCGAGTGTGTGTGTGTGTGTGTGTGTGTGTGTGTGTGCGTGTGTGTGTGTGTGTGTGCGTGTGTGTGTGTGTGTGCGCGCGTGTGCGTGTGCGTGTGCCCGTGTGTGCGTGTGTGTGATCATACCGCGCAGTTTCGGCTTGAGCTTGAAAGAACTTGAAAGCAACCTCTCCTTCCGCTGATCTTTCTCTTGCAGTTTCTTGGTCTCAAACATCATGTCTTCTCGCAACAGTTGTCTCTATTTATCGCAGGCAGCTTCTGACTTTTTTTTCGCAAGCAGATTCTGAATGTCAGTCAAGGACTCGCTCTGTATGGCGTTGGGCAGCGTGAAAACCCCTTTGCGATCGGAGACTAGCTTCTTGACGGCCGTTGCTTCTCCGTACTTGCTAGATTGATTTCCTGAAGAAGAAACTGAGGTGCGGCCGAGATGAGTCTGTGCGCGAGCACAGCAACCGGCCCGAAAGCCTCCTCTGGCAGCCTTTCCGAAGAGCAGTGTTCTTTTTGTAGCGGCTAGAGAATAAGTCGTGCAAGAACCCGAGTCGTTTCAAGTGGGTAGAAGACGGTAGAAGGCTTCTGAGTTCTCGCGAGGCAGCTTGAAGAGTGTCTTGGAGACATTTGGTCGCAGCTCGGCCGCACAATTGACTGTATTACGATTCCGCAGTGCTGGATAGAACAACTATGGACAGGACAAAAGTAATGCACAGGTGTTCTTTACAAAGGTCACAAGCATGGATTCTACTTCGGACTCCAAAGGCTTCGTGCACAAGCATGCTTTCGACAGGCGAACCGGACGCGAGGAAGAGCCTGACAACGAAGGTGGAAACAGGCGGCGGCTGCCCGACGACGCGTTTCAAGTCTTGGAAGCTTTCTTGTCGTTAGACATCGAACAAGCTCTCATCGTAACATTGACAAAAACTATTTTATGTACTTGCGCTCTCTGCGTCAAGCCACTAGGATCTTGCAGGCCAGTCTGTATCTACTTCCGGAGTGAAGGACGTCTTGAAGCAAGACCAATGCAACCTGACAGACATGAAGAGGCGTTCCGGACTTCACACCAGATGCTATTACAATGTTGAGTCGGTTGTATTCTTATCTTTGCGGAATCTTTGCGTAGCCCAGGCCTCAAGACGAAAGAAGACAAGCCCGTGCCCCCGACCTCCACTTTGCAAGCAGAGCTGCAGATAGCGGGCCGTAATTCGACTGCGACAAGTTTGGAGGCTTTTGGTCGTTGTCTGTTTACAGTATAGTTATGGCGGCGGGGTCATGTGAAAAGCACAAAGAAGAAATGTTTAAAACTGAGCGTTCCGAAAAACAATTTAGTCAGCGAGGCTGCCTGTTGAGATATCAAACGAGGTCAGCCGAGAGCCATGTCTAACCTGCCAAAGACTTCCATGTTGGCTATGACGCGAATCTTGACTTGTTTTACGCTCGTGCAATCGTTCCCGAATCACCTCAGAGTGTATGATACGTTAATAAGAACTGGGCAAGTGTTTTCGAGGCGAGAAAGTGAAAGTGGGCATGCATCCTCTTCGCTCATCCACTTCGACCACAAAATGGGCAACGCTGGTTCCCTTGACCTTCGCCGCATCCATTCGACGGAAATGGGTTCCCAACAAAGGGCTGGTGCTGTTTCCGGCAGCAGGCGGACGGTGTCGTAAGAGGGACAGGGGACAGCGCAGTGACAACGGCTCCGTGAAGAACCCTCCGTGGAAGCAGGCCAAGGGCGAGACGGATTTGGGATACTATCGCAGGCGAGAGCACTTGCAGGGAAACAAGACAAAGAATCGAGGCTGTCGCAAGAAGAAGTCCGTCAGCAGTTGTGTTCCTGTGACGATGACGAAGAATCTCGTCTGCAGAGTTGTACTCTAGACTCTAGTCAGATCAAGCTTTATTGTTGTGATCTAGAGCCACCTGTCTAAATGCGCGTGTTCAGGAAAGACAGCGAGATCGAGAAGGCCGACACTAGCATCGAGACGCCGGATCATGTGAAAAGTGAGGGGCTGACAGAGTTTCTTGACTGATCTATCATGTTTCGTGGTGAAACTGTCGCGTGTCAGTTTCTGCGATGTCTGCACGCTGATCAAGGGCGTGGATCCCGGGAATTTACCTTGGAGGCGAGTGGATTCACAGCAACGGCCAGGGCTTGATGCTAGACAATGACTGGAGTGTCTTGGATTAATGGCCTTGGGGACTTTTTTCAGCAAAGGATGAACGCAGCAAGCTCAGGCTCCTACTTCTTTCTTCCCATTTTTCGTCGGCTGGCCTCCGCGGATGTGCTAGAGGTCGAGCAGAAGAGCGGTGCAAATGAGAACGGTGGCTCACTCAGGAAAGCTGCTTTGTTTGACTATCATATTCTTACCTTAGTCGAAATTAAAGTGATCTGTCGCGACTAAGGGCAGCATCTCAACTTCGGTCTCAAGTACTCCTCGGAAGCCTGGAGTAGCTTGTCTGCGGGGTAAGTGAAGCGAGGCTGTCCCTGTCGCTTGAAATATCACGCCCAGGCGATATTTTCGTGGGCAAGCTCGTTCGGAAGATTCGAGAGCGGCAAGCCTCGGAAAAATTTCGCTGCAAGACGTGGCCGGAATGGACGCAGCAGCAAGGCATCGTCGTTACGCGAAAATCCAGAACGGCGACGAAGTGCAGCTCGGCAACGACGGATCGTGTTCGCGAGCCTCAGAAGCCTCGAGGCACCGTGGCAACCGATCCTGAGACAAGGACGGCCAAGCACTTCAAGGACTGTTGCTTGGTCGACTCCCTCAGAGCTATGGGCCATAAGGTGTCTTATCGTGGAGACGGACCATGGAAAATTTCGGACGGCATGCAGTGGCTGCAGCCTATGAGGACCTTCGTTATGATCACATTGCAAAGTCCAGCAATGAGCGCGTGCTTCTGTGTGACTGCAGTAATAGGATTACACATGAAGTGTGATGTGGATGTCTTTGATGTGTAATTAAATGAGGCATTACGCAACACGCTTTCTCTTGCGCTTGAGGAAGACCATTCGGCCATGCACCTTTCACGACGCGCTCGTCGCCCAGGGCGATTTCCTGTTGGCGTACAGCAATCACTTCGTGGCAGCCCGGCGCAGAGACGGTGAGAATCTCAAGGTGAACTGCGGGCGCCGCACGCATATGTGGAAAGATTTGCGAGTCAAGTCGCATTCTGGAACGCGCGCTCTTCATCAGGATCTCGACGGAAACATGCTTCTGGATCCGAGAATGCTTGATGCATGTTTTCGAGTGATGCATCGAGATGATGTTTGCGAAGAACAGAGTCTACCTGCAGAAAATGATTACTCGGGCGGAAAGATGGTGGAGGCCTGCGCGCAGCAGATCTTGGAGACCTGGGAGAGCTTGCAGCTCGAGCAAATGGAGCCCGTGGTTGTTCCTACTGCAGAGAACTTGGTCACGCTGAACAGGCGCGATGGTTACGCAGACTCGGACGAAGAGTCCGGTTTTTGGCACTCCTGGGAGGAACTATTCGGTTCGCAGGCGCCCTATTCTGAAGGCGGCTTTGACGACGATGAGGAGAATATCTTGCATTCGCCCGTACCTGTTGTCGTCCACAATTTCGATCAGATTGTGAATGATGACGACACGTTCATTGTCTGCGGCGTGCTTGAAGATCAATGGAACGCAAACAGCTTTGCAGGCAGCAGCCTCGATTATGCTGGAGGCTCGTCTGTCTTGGGCGAGGACGGTAGCATCCTTACGAGCAACTTGATGCCGCAGGACGTGTTGCTCATTCTTCCTCAGACTTACTTTTCCTTTGAATTTCTGAGTACGTGGGCTGCATGTTCGCGGAGCTTTCGAGATCATGTCCGGCAACAGCTCAACTGGAAAGGGTTAGACATTCCTATCGATGTTCCGGAGTTCACGAACGACGAGGCACGGCTGAGACGCATGCGACGACTATGGAAACTAGCACGAAGCGTCATCATGACACAGGCCCAGCTTGCTTTTCTGAATCTGCCTCTTCAGAAAGTTCTTATTCGGTGGGAAGTGGAAAGGATTCCCTTTTCCGGTGAGCGCTCTCGTGGCTACATGTCCAGTCAAACCCTGCTTGGCGCAGCCAGGTTTCTTGCGGAAATTCCTGAAGAGATTCGAACGGTCATGATCGGGGTCAAGAGTCCTTTTGGAACGAGAAAGATTTTCTTGCACATCAGAGAGGCTTACACTGAGCGCATGTGCTTTTGCTTTTCTATGTCAGGCAGAATGGACAACCTTCCCACTGAAAAGTTTCCCGACAACGTCCTGTTTTCTGAGTTGCGCAATGAAGTTACACTGATCTGGAATTCTCGAATGTTTGCCGTGCAGATCAACCAGCACATGTTTGGGCCGGTGCAAGTGCGAGAGGACTTGCCGAGCGGGCCATCGTCGCAAGCGATTCCTTTCATCTGGGCGAGCAATCCTAAGCGAAGTCCAAACTCGCCGAGGATTCAAATGCTGCCGTTGCTCACACCTGTTCTTCCAGACGCACGATGCCTCTGCATCCTATGTGGTCTAGAGAGTGGCTTGAATGAACAGCAATGGCGAGTTTGCGTGGACTGCAACACGTGGGTTTGCAGAGAACACGCCCGAGCACTTCCGAACATGCAGTGCCCAGGGTGTCCCTTAGTTCTGGCCGATTATCTGGGCGGCGCTCTCCCGCCGCCTCAAATGCCTTGGGAAGTGGTCATGTCCTTGCCTCAGTACTTTTTCTCCTACTCCTACATGAAGAACCTTGCCGCCGCCTCGAAAGCGTGCAAGGCTGCGATTGTCTCGGGCGAGGCGTGGCGCAATAAGGTCGTCGAAGTGACGTGGCCCGAGTTCACCCAAACCATTTTGCTTCGTCGAGTGGAGCCTCTCTGGCGCCACGCCAGAATTGTGGTCTTCGACATCGCGCAGCTGGCCCAGGTCCTGGAAATGCCTGAGACAGCTCACGTGCACTTCAATGTGACATCTTATCAAGGCTTTCTGCGCGGCGGCAGAGTAGTGCAAGGCTTCGAGTCCAACCAGCCTCTCATGGGCTGCGCCAATTTCGAACTCCATTTGCCTCCACGAGCCAACGGCATCTACTTCGGCGTGCAAGACCTGGACGGCAGGAAGAGATCTTACTGTCGTGTGGACAATCTCTTCACAGCAGACATCGCTTGGTCTTTCGGCGTCACAGGAAGCCGCGTCCAGCGACATCCTCGTGCCGACCAACATCATTTCTTGCCGGGCTATGCCAACCGCGTCTGCATGAAATGGAGCCAGAGGTCGTTCGCCGTCAACTTGAACGACGAAGTGGTGATTCGGGCAAGGCTTCGCGACGATGTCGGCGACTCTGCGCCGCCTTTGGCTAGGGTATTTGTGTCGGGTTTTCTCGCCCCCGGGAGGCCATGGCGGCGCACAATTTCTTCGAGAAGTTGGTATGACTCCTGCCTTCTCACCTGTGGTTCGCAACGCACACATCGAGTGCGGAGTTTGTGGACGCGCGTTCAGTTTGCTGTTTCCGAGGTGGAGTGTCTGTCCTTTGTGCAGCACATGGATCTGTTCAGCGCACGTGGGCCAGATGCCGTGGAGAAGGTGTCCACGCTGCGTTTTGCAGCTGCAAGACTACGTCGGAGGCAGCGACTACATTCGGTATGTTGACGCAGGCGGCTTTGTTGAAAACGGCGCCTTTCTGGAAGCGACGACCAAGTTCGAGCTCGTGATTTCGAGCATATACAGGCGCCATGCCGGTTTGTTCCAGCGTCTTCCTGAAGCCATCAAGCTCCTTCCGCATCCGATGATGCGTGCGGCTATGACGAAGAGACTATGGGAGGAAACGCTGGGGAGGACACGAACAATTCTGGATTTCTTGGAAGAGACCAATCTGAACATGAACGTTGTCTTTTATCGCTACCTGCACGCGCAAGCGTCAAAACTACCACAGTGTCAGCTCCAGGTGTTAGGACGATTACCTCATCCGGTGGACTTTCCCGATGAGAAGGACTGGTTCCGTTTGGCCTTCGAGTTTTCCTTGAGCCTGCACTTGCTCTTGGTGACTGGCACCATTGACGGGGCGACTTCCACGTCTTCCGGCGAAGCGAAAGAAGAAAACGTTCAATGCGAATGTCGCAGTGAAAAGCTGATAGAGGAGGAGGAGATCACGCGCGCACCTTGCTTGGTCGTCGGCTTAACGGACAACTGGACTGCATTGTGTTCCAGTTCCAGTGCTAGAACCTGGCAAGACGTGCGGGGAGGTGCGTCCGAGCACAGAGCAAGTCACTCAGAGTGGTTTCTTTTGAGCTTGCGTCGCGCAGAAGCTCTTTCTCGGCAGCACGAGAGACGAAGCAGCCAAGAGCACGGCCTTCTACCTCTTGATGGTTTTTCTTTGTGGAACAAATGCTACAGCCCGTACTGTTGTCCGTCGTACGGAACGCATACGTCCTCTATCCGCTTGCCGATGTTTTCATTCACGCACGAGCTGCCTCCCGTGTTGGAAGCCGCCCCGCTTGACTGGCAAAGCTTCAAGTGTCCGGAGATTTCATGCGGCCTCTTGTCTCGGGTACATCGGCATCTCAGGGATCAGCGGATAAGCTTCACTGCAGGCAATCACACGTACCATGTCGACGGAAAAAAAGTCTCGATCTCGGTCACGGGTCTCGTGCATTTCTTTGCGGAAGAGTTCGATGCTGATGCTGCTATCGCGTGCATGAAACGAAGTCAGAACTGGCCCAGAGAGGCATACGCCAAAGTCGTGGACGGAAAGCTGCAGCCCTTGCCGGACGCGGAGATTAAAGAACTCTGGCGCAAGAATTCAGTGGAGGCTTCTGCACGAGGAACTTGGATGCACTTGCAAATCGAAGTTTTCTTGAACGGAGGCTGCTCTGAGAATCCTGGAGTGGAGATTGATCTCTTTGCGAAGTTTCTTCAGCAGTTTCCCACGCGGCTCCTGGCCTTTCGTACAGAGTGGTGCATTTATGCAGAGAATGAAGATCTGGCTGGATGCGTCGATTTTGCTGCTCTGACTGAAGCAGGAGAAGTTGTCCTTTTTGACTGGAAGCGCACAAAGCTTCTGCGCGACAAGTACAACAATCCCTGGTCTTGCATGAAGAAGCCATTGTCTCATATTCCGGATTGTGCAGGTCAGCACTATCGACTGCAACTCAACGTTTACAAATACATTTTGCAGCAGTACTACGAGATGAGAGTTGCTGGCATGTACGTCGTCTGTCTGCACCCAGACAATGCAGATCTGGGTCCCTTCATCGACGAGGTTCCGGACATGGCACCTGAGGTGCACGCTATGTTACAGAGTCGAGCACGAAGCACGGCGCCGCCTGCATGGCAGGATCTCAGCGGCGGAGCTGAGGCCGACAGCCAGACATCTTTTGGGCGCCAGATCGAGGACGAGTTGGAGATGCAAGTTGATGACGATAATGCCCGCCGTTCATTGGAAGAAGCCTTCGCTGCTGGGCTAGTCTTTGATGCTGCGCGCAGTGTCAGCCAAGGAAATCTTGTGCCTTCTGAAGAAGACATTTTTAGAGACGCCAAGAAACGACGTTGTATGCCTGGAGCGGAAACTACAATGGCGCGTTTGCAGGAGATTTTTCAGAACAGCGATGAGAGCTGTGCAGAATCTTTCCTGAGCATGCCGCCTGCGGTGCAGAGGATTCATGATCGCACGATCGTCCAACAGAAGAAGACATACCTTGCCCTGGTGTCGCAACGGCATCCGACCTGGCCGGAAACAGTTCAACATCTTGCAGCAGCGGCGCTTACATGTTACCGCGCTCGTTTGAGCGACATGTTTGTTCGCGATTACGTGGCATTGCTTTGGGTGATGGAAGGAGATCGATTTCTTCGGGCGCACAACGGCACCTGCTACCTTTATCACGAGCACGGAGCATTCCAGGCCTTCGTGGGCATGCCTCCAGAATCGACGTTCTCCAGGGTGAAGCCTTTTCTGTTGCAGTTGGAAGGAATGTTCAGGTTGATGAGTTCCCGAGTGGAGCGCTCGGACTATTGTCTGCTCGATGAGATCGCGCGCCTTTTTGACGAGCACAACAGCGCCTGCGAGTTCTTGAACCGTTGCCTCGATGAAGCCATCATGACAGCTGGAACACGTTCTACTTCTAGACGACAGATGAATCGGCTGGAGGCACCGGAGAGGGGCGTGGATGCACCGGCAGAGGCTCCTGCTGGCACACCTTCGTGGCCGTTGTTTACAGCGGACATGATTAGCCGTGTAGCTGCCCCTCTGCAGCGAGACTTGCTCGAGGAGCGAAAGCTTCTCCAGTACGTGGCTCAGTGGTGCGACACACCTACGCAGCGGAGACCTGGCGTTGCTTACACAGATTGCTGCGTTCTCTATGACGTTTCTCCGGAGCACAATGTCCAACTTGTCAATGCCAGTCCGGATTTGAACATCTATATTCGCGTCCCTCATCCTTTGCGTGCTCATGCTCTCGAGGACCCGGTGTTCCGGCAGGCCAAAGACAGGCTGGAAAAGTTTCTGAGGGAGACCTTTTGGTGCAACGAGGACTTTTTGCGGGCCTGCATGAGTGCTCTTGCCCTTGCGAAGCGTGGCGAAAACGTGGACAGATGTTTTATTGGCGAGTCTCCTGGCGGAACTGGTCAATCTTTGTACAGCTGCCACATCGCCGCAGTCTATGCCCGAAACCATGCCTTCATTGACACTGCCGTATTTCTGAACGAGGACGAGCTCAGGAAGCAATTGGAGGGTTTTGCTCATTGCTTTATCCTTACGGCGCAAGAGGCACCGGAGTCCAACCGTGCATTTCTGCAGGACGTCTTCAAAAAGGTTTGCTCCGCTGACGACTTGGCTGCACGCCGGCCATACGGCTTCGTTACTCGCATGATGCGATGCATTGGCTGGAAGCGGTACGAGACGAACGTCATGCTGCAGTTCCGCAACGTCCAGGAAAGAAATTTCAACTCCATGTTTAGAAGATGCCTGGTGTGGGAGCCCAAACCGCTGTTCTGGGAGCAGAAAACTTTGGAGGAGAGTTACCCTGACGCACACATGGACGGCATTTTCGCGAAGGACACCACGCTGAAAGAGTTTCTTGAGTCCGGGCCAGCCATTGCAGTTTCTTTGCATTTGCAGCATGGCTTCGAAGTTCGGCACAGCCGGCAAGACTGCCGCGACATCATCGAGCAAATGGTGGTGCAGGGACCAACGGAGAAGAAAGTCAGGGCTGCGTGCGGTCTGGAGGATCGCAAGCAGGAAGGCGGCTCGAGTTCAGCCACGGCACTTGCTCATCTCGTCCGGTCGGCCACAACTGTTCAAGACGCAAACGAAGATGCGTCTGCTGAATGTTTGCATGAGAGAGTGCGAAACGCAATGATTTCTTACGGTCTGAACACGCGTGGCACTCCGGCAACGAAGTTGAAATTCAGCAAGGCCTGGTGGACTCGGTACTCGTCCTCGAAGATCGGCAACAGGACATTGACGTTGGATGTCTTGCAGGACAAAAAAATGGTCATTTTTGCTGGCGGTGCTGGAGACAAGGGAAACGTGAGCCAGTCCTTCGTGCCCATCATTCCCTTGAAAAAAGAGCTTGATCACGTCTGCGACATAGCAGCTCCCGAGCAACGCACGCAGCTGCAAGAATGCTACGATGCTCGCGCGCTCTGGAAAATTGCTGAGCAGAATCCTTCCCGAGAAACTAACGTCCAGATAATGTTGAGCTGCTACGACAAGATCTGCCAAAGACTTCAACGTCGACGAGGCAAGAAAAGCGTTCACTTGCTGGAGATGCAGGACGCATGGATGTCACGGAAGAAGAAGCTGGAGAATCAAGAAAATGCACTGCAAGACTTATTGGAACTTCTTGAATCTGCTCGCAAGAAGACTTCGGAGGACGCAGCAAGCTCGCAAGCTGCCCGCAGCAAGCCATCGCAGGAAACAGGAGAAAAAAGACGTGCGAGAAGGAAGAGGCCGGACGCCGTAGAAGCTCTGGACGCGTCAGCGTCTTCGACTGCAAGGCAGCGAAAAGAGAACCCCCACGGTGAGGATGCATTCGTCACGCAAGAGACAATTTACGGGATCGTGCCGGCGAATTTGGGCATTCGCACGAGGCGTTATGCCAGAGGAGCGGCTGCTCAGCATCTCGGCAGAGCCTGGCAGGCATTAGTCCTGAGCCACACAACGGATCTGGACATCGTGAACTGTTGCTTCAATATCATGCTGCAGTTGCTCGACAAGTTGGACGTCGATCAGCGGGAGTGGAGCAACCAGAAAGAGACACTGAGGCGATGCGCCGAGGAAAGAGACAAAGTTATTGAAGAAGACATTCAATTGGATGGTGCCACTGGCAAAGATGTGCTGAACAAAGTCTTCAATGGTGGCAATCCGCCACAGACGTTGACAAGCAACAAATTCATTCAGAGGCTGCAGCAGCTGTCTATCTTCTGTCGATGGGTTGCTGTCTCGGCTTTACCAAACGTTTACGACCATATGCTCGAAAATGCCGATAAGGAGAATCCGGAATCGAGTACCTTGCATCATTTGTGGACGGTCGTGGAAGATCGCATCATCGACGCATGGCTGGAGAAAATCGCTGGTCTGAATCCTCGTCACGTGTCTCTGCATTTTGATGGCATTCGCGTAGACACCTCCGTGATAGGCGACGACGTGGAGAATTTCTGTGCACAATGCTCCGATCATATAGCGGAGAAAACAGGCTTCAAAATCACAATCCGACCAAAGCTGCATCGGCATTTTTTGGAAGAATTGAGGAGCAAGCGGGGTTTCGAAGAGGTGCCCTGTCCTGAAGAGCTAGAAGAACCGGGCAATTGCATTCTGCGGAGCTTGCATCATCTGGGGTACAAAGCACAAGCTCTCGCCATGGCAACAGATGTCAGCTCAGAATTCCATCAATATTTTCGGCGCAAACATCACAGGACATATGCTCAGGTGAGTGAACGCACCGGCTTGTTCATGAATCCGACGTTTGCAGCAGCAAGCACACCTTTCTCGGCCGGCCAGAAGAAGCTCATGCATCTTCATACACAAGGAGATCCACATTGTGTCGCATTGGAAGTGGTCACCGCAAACGAATTTATCATCACAGATGAGAAGAAGCAGTACAAGGTCAGCTCCACGGACTTCTTGAAATGCCTCAAGGCTGCTGTAGACTCGAAGTACATCGTTCTTTTTGATATCTTCGGGAGCGAAGCAGAAGCAAATGCAGCACAAGCATCGAACACGGATGACGCTTTGACCGCCACAGAGATGGACAGTTTGCGGTGTCTTCATGCAGCGGGCGAGGCGCAGGATGATGACTTCGTGGTGGACATGGAAGAAGCAACTGACGCGGAAGAGCCGCCGGAGGAGTCAGAAGACGAAGGCATCGTGCGCGTCGGCGACAGATTGTTGAGTTCCCTGAAAAATGAAGTCACGCAACTGAAAGCTGAGTGCATTCCTAGGAGTGACGGCGAGTATAGGTGCCCGTTTTGTCCGTGGCGGTCTTGGGCAGCGAACCAATCGAAGAAGAGAGTTCTTGATCACGTCGAGAAGTACCACGACCACATCCACCAGTTCGTCGCCAGTGGGACCAAGCAACTGAAGCTCATCATTTCGTTACACGATGCTGCTCAGTGCACGGGATCTGAACAGGGCGACCTGCTCACAAGAAGCGCTGAAATGCTGCGCTGCACAGTGCAGCCAGCTGTGTGTGCTTCTACCACCTCGATAGATCGACATATTCGCTTGGTCTTCACAGAGCGCGGGCCTGAGTTCTGGAATGCGGTTTCAGTCCAAGAGTTCCCGCTGCGACGTGTTCGCAATCTGTACTACACCTATGAGTTCGGCCAGATTGTCTACCAGCAGTTTCTTCTCTCGGATGCAAAGGCAAGGTTTGCTGCTGGAGAGTTGTTTGCAGACCCTGAGCAAATGTAAGTGCTTTCTTTTCTTGTGTGTGTGCTCGCAGGTGTACTCATTGCATGCGGCATTGGTTGCGCGCTTCCCCCCAGAGACCTGCAGCTTGCTACCGCGGCACGTCAATCACTGGTGGCCAATTCTAGAAGATTTGTTTACCTGCCCCAAACTCATGTGCGTCATGCAGGGTTTGATGCAAGAAGTTATGCAGCACGATGAGCTACAAGTCATCAGCATCGACTGCACGATGAGATGCTGCCTGCCTCTGATGGGACAAGCTCATCCTCGGTCTAGCCAGGAGGCAAAGCGAAGCGCAGCTTTCCGCGGCCAGGAAGCTTCTGCAAGAGCAGACTGAACGCAGAGCAGCAGTTCTCTTTCTTTGGTTGTTTAAGCAAAGTACGTGCGTGTCTTCATTGCAGTAACGAAGCACATGCAAGTAATATACTGTGCAAAGTCCAGGTGATGACAGTGCGCGGCAGAACCAATGCGGTTGTGGTTCTGGAACCACTCGCAGCAGACGACTCGGAGACCTGCGTGCGTGTCCTGGCTGAGACTCTCCCGGCGCAAGCATTGGCCCAGGTCCAATTTGTTCGAGTGGACAACCCCTCGCAGAAGTTCTGGGAGCAGCTCCGCGTGATCTGCCCCAACTTGCAGGTCCTTGCTTTAGATCCGGTTCATCTGGCGATGACGTACGAATTCGCCTCGAGTCGGAAGAGAACCCCTGGATCAAGCATGCTGCGAAGAATTCTTCAAAAATTCACAGCAGTGGAGAGCGCGCACACAGCCGAGCAATGGGGCCGCGTCTTCACAGGAAGCGACGGCAGAGTTTTGTCTCGCGAGGAAGAGATGTTGCGCAATCACATCGAAAACCGGTCCATGCGTCTGCGCGACGCTGAGCACATTCTGGCACAAATTAATTCGGAAATCCCATTTTTTGTGCGGGTGGATTTCATTCGCGCTATTGCAGCATTATGCGCAGTGTACAGTCACGAAGTTATTCGTGTTGCGCCGGGCCCGAACAGGCAGGTGTACAAGCTGCTGCATTCGGCCACAGCTGTCAATCGTGCGGAGTGGTATTTCAACAACACTCGTCTGCAGCACATGCTGGAAGCACGCAGGCTCCCGCTACTCCCGACAGGCACCACATCTAATGAGAGTCTGCGCAGGGAGATTAATGTATGGTTCCGTGAGACTTTCAAGTTGCATCAAACCAGTTTGCGCTTGAAACTCCAAGTTCTCAAGCTTGCCAAGAACTTGTCTCACAACAGTGCTCTGTACAGGCCGACGACACGGCAAATGAAGCACGCGGAACTTCTTGCTCGTGCGAGCGCACGCCCACTCTGGTCGTATGTTGAGTGGCAGAACTGGTGCAGGGAATTAGCCCACGACAAAATGCCAGACAAGGCCGATCTGCCATTGTATAGAGAAAGAAAGCGGCAGCAAGCTGTTGTCAAAAAGGCAGCCTGCAAGAAGCCAGCCGCTTCGCCACAGACGCGCAAGAAGGTGCACCGCACACCGCACACCTTGAAGCGCAAGGACACGCTTCGGCGCGCAGGTGCGCGTGGGCACATGCGTCCCTAATGCAGGCCATCCATGTTAGGCTTCGGGCGCAGGAGGTCTGGACTGATTTGCTAATTGTGGGCAGGAGCCGAACTTGGTGTCGCGTTTTCTCTCAGTTGCAACTGACAGAGGACTGCAGGCGTGCGTCTGTACAGTGCACAGAGGACGTGCGCCGCGCATGAATTTGCCAGGGAAAAAGAAGAGAATGTGTGATCTGCTACACTTCATGCGGACAATGCCATTTTGTTAGATCACTAGTGCGTGAAAGCTGTACGTCGCGGCGACATGTCGAGCGAAGCTTGCGATCGACCGCTCGCAGGAAGGCGGAGGAGCAGTGTGTGGCTTGGCGCGTAAGTGCATTTGCCTGGGGGAACGTTTTCGTGTTGGGTCTTGCGCCAAGGAGCTGATATCAGTTGTCGATGAAGCGATGAATTCGAATCTTTCACAAACATTCGCGTGCGTTTTCCTCAAGGAATGTTTTCTTGCTGCGATCTTGCACGAGGGGACCGATATCAGTTCGCGATCAAGCGATAGAGTCGAATCTTTCCCACGCAGTCGCGGGCAACTCTTGCTATTGGATGAAGTTCATTGTGATTTCGCGACAGCATTCCGTAGTTCTGCATCTTCGTAGATGTCCCGAGAAGTAGTCAGCGGCGGCTTCCAGTGTGAGCACACGGGAGTATATAGAAAGAATCATTAACGCCGCGTTGGAGATGCTGGAACCTGTGCGAAGTCTTTGACAATGACGTTCTCGCAGGCGTTTTCTATGCCAGGACTGTCGATGAGAAGCAGTGTGTGTGAGTGTACAGTCTGACAGAATTCCTCTGAATAAGTGCGCTTGCACTTGTCACCGTCTGTTTGCAGTTGTCACCGTCTGTTGCCTGTCATTGCGACTGTGTTCACAGTCAGTACGATGTCATGAACAGGTTTGATCTCAGGAGATAGCTTGAACTCAGAATGCGTGTTTCCATCCGTAATATCTCCGCTCAAGGGTTGCTGTCGACGTGCTTGCCTGTTCTTTGACGTGTTCGCAACAAAATGGTAGTGCACTTAATGCGTTTGCAGCTGGTGAGAGGATCAGTGCAAAGTTGGTGGACCTTCGATTCACCGGTATTGTCTCCGGCGGGGCACATGCAGACCAGTCCGAAGGCAGCAGCGTTTCATGTGGCCAGACATACAGCGGACTCTGCAGTCACGCCGGGAGATCCAGGAGCAGAGCTCACCCTACAGCACACAGAAGGCACGTTGTTGGATGAACAATCGATATATCAGCTCTTGGTGCAGGATCAAGTTACAAATTCTATGTCTCACTGAGTCTCACTTCTGGCAGCTTCCTCCGCCAGAGCTTATCAAGTTCTCAGCAGTTACAGCAACCTGGTTGAAGAACCAGACCTCATCTTGGCAGCCTGTTATTCTGACTGAACGGCAGCGTTGTGTGCACTACATGCTCAGTCTGTTACCGTCTGATTTCCGATGTGTTGACCCGCAGAGGCTTTGGCAGTTGCGTCCGTCAGTTCTGCTTTCTTCAGGGCCATAGTAGGTGTGAATTTGCCATGTCAGAGTGTGTTTCAGACGCCAGCACGAGTGTGGGCATGTGGAGATGTTCTGCCTAGAGTAGAGACTTGCGTGCTCTCTGATGTCCCAAAGAGTTCAAATGCATTAGCGGCAGAAGTTCCAATCGGCGTTCGATTTAGCGTCGTAGCTGACAGAGTCTGCTTATGCCTCCATCTTTCTATGAAGAATGCCAACGTATGCCTCGACCTTTCTGATTGAAAGTGTGTGTGTGTGTGTGTGTGCCAACCCTGCCACTAAGCGAGTCAGTTGCTGTTGCGCAAGGTCGGTTTTGAAAGCCAGATTTGAAGCAGAGGGCCAGCGCTCTCCCTGGGGGTCGCTGGCCAACGAAGACGCCCCCAGGCAGGGGTGTAAACGTACCTGCAGACTATTTTGTGAGTGAGTGCGAGGTTCTCACTGACAGGATGAAAGAAGGTGAATCTCAGGTGGAAGGAATTAAGACTTGGCGTGGAGATATGCGCAAGGTGTGGCCAAACGCTGACTGTGAAAAGAAGGCGCAGTTTAAACAGTTTAAACTGTTTAAATATTTCAGGGGATTGAACTGTGTAAACTGTTTAAGCTGTTTCAACTGCAAATCGTAAACAGTTTAAACATTTAAATATTCAAAGTGTTTAAACTGTGTAAACTGCAAAAGGAACTTGAAAAGGTTCATGGTACTTACTAACCAGTTATAACTGTACCTAGAACCCTACTTATAATAGCCCGAAAGGGCCTTATAGGGGTTCTCAATTATCAGTAGGGTTATAAGCCCAGTCGTATTGGTTAGTAAGTACCATGAACCTTCAAGAAGGCGCAGTTTAAACAGTTTAAACAGTTTAAACAGTTTAAAGTTTTTAAATATTTACAGTGTTTAAAGTTTTTAAATTGTTTGTTTAAACTAACTGCAAATCGTTTTGAAAAAATGTTAAGGTTAAAGGGTTTTGAGTTTTAAACTTTACATTTGTTAAGTTCTGTGGTGTTTTTTGGACGATTTGCAGTTTAAACACTTTAAACACTTTAATTTTTTTAACAGTTTAAATATCTAAAGAGCTGCAGCACTGTGAGCGCAGGAGTCGGCAATTCGAACGGCACTTACAACCCACTTTTATAAGCCTTTGAAATGCCCCAATTAAACCTGTACTTCTAACCCACTTATAAGCCTCTTATAAGTGCCCCTAGTGTGACTATAAGTTGGGTTAGTCAGCACCGTTGGGCAAACCCTAAACCCTAAACCCTTAACTCTAAACCCTAAACCCTAAACCCTAAACCTTAAACCTTAAATCCTAAACTTCTGCCCTGAACCTTAAACCCGAAACCCCAAACTTGAAACTTGGCCCCTTGCTGGTGTGATCTGCTGCCAACGCAGCAGCACGCACGACGATTAAAATTCTGAGAGCCCTTTTGGGGCCCAGTATCCAGGGACTGCGCAAGGCCAAGATCCCTTGACCCTGAACATCCCATTCGGTTTTAGGGTTTGGGGTTTAGAATGCAGGGCTTCGGGTTTAGTGTGTAGGGTCTAGGGTTAAGGGTTAAGGGTTTAAGGATTAGGGGTTAGGGGTTAGGGTTTTCGGGAGGCTCGCTGTTGCCAGGAATTGACAGGCGAGATGGCTCATGTAGCTCGCCATAAAATAGGGTTTCGGTAGGTGAGGAGTTTGCCAGCAGTTGCAGCGCCTGGCAATGCACAGGACGGTTTAGGTCTGAAGTCGTTGAGGGTTAAGGGTTTAGAGGTTTAGGGTTGAGGGTTTAGGGTTTAGGATTTAGGATTTAGGGTTTAGGGTTGGGGAGAAGGCGAGAAGGTGGTAGAAGTATATGAACCCAATCCTGAACCCCGAGTATAACTTGAACTCGTAGTTGTAGTTGTTGCTTGGCGGTTGCGAGATTCGGCTTTGTAGCGATTTGTTGCCGGCGCGGGTTCAAGGGTGTGGCTTGAGGTTTAGGAGGTTTCAGGGTTATTTAAGCTTTAGGATTTCAAGAGTCTTGAGGCTTAGGAAGATTCAGGGTTGGTTCGGCTTTAGGGTTTCAAGAATCACCCCTACAGCGCCAAAAACTGCACATGCGCTCTATCTACACTAAAACACTCGCAGCAAGGGTTATACAACCCTAAGGCCCTAAGCCTAACCTGAAAACCTAGAACCCATATCGTCTATGCACTCGACACAGCCCCTAAGCCCCATACGACAGGCACTCAACCCTATATATAGCCAGCGTGCCTCCCTAGCGTATTTCCAGCCAGCGTGCCTTCCCAATGGCTTGTTTCTGAGTGTCTGCCATGCCAAAGTACAAGAAACGCACTGCTAAAGAGCACCGGCGCTCTACACGGCGTTTTAAGTGCCACGCAGTCACGGGAGTATGGTCGCGGCTCGGCAACATTTGCAGGTCCCCCTTTTCTTTGCAGAAGTCCTCCACGCCTTGAACTTTCTCTTCTCGTCGCCCAAAGGAACATTATATCTGCAAGTTCTGTGACAAGGTTTTCTGTAAACACCCAACCTCCGCGCCCAATCGCAGCTCTAATACAATGCTCTATAGAAACATCTAGAAAGAACTAAACCCTAAACCCTAAACCCTAAGCCCTAAACCCTAAACCCTAAACCCTAAACCCTAAACCCTAAACCCTAAACCCTAAACCCTAAACCCTAAACCCTAAACAACAAACAACCCTAAACTCTAAACCTTAAGCCCTTAACCTTAAACCCTAAACCCTATGAAGGTCTGGCGTGAAGCGGGCGAGGCCAGTCTCCGCTCCGCACCTCCCTCGCGCCTCGCTGGTTGAGGAGGAGGGGGCGGGAGTGTGGTCGCGGCTCGGCAACATTTGCAGGTCCCCCTTTTCTTTCCACAAGTCCTCCACGCTGAACTTTCCCTTCTCGTCGCCTAAAAAAACATTCTATCTGTATGTTCTGTGACAAGGTCTTCTCTAAACACCCGACCTCCGCGCCTAATCGCAGCACTAATACAATTTTTATAGAAGCATCTAGAAAGACCTAAACCCTAAACCTTAAACCCAAAACCTTAAACCCTAAACCATAAACCCTAAACCCCAAGTCCTAAACCCTAAAGCCTAAACCCTAAACCCTAAACCCCCTAAACCCTAAACCCTAAACCTTAAACCCTAAACCCTAAACCCTATGAAGGTCTGGCGTGAAGAGAGCAAGGCCAAGTTCAGCTCCGCACCTCCTTCGCGCTTCCCTGGTTCAAAAGGAGGGGGCGCTCCGTGCGCCCGTAGAGGAGAAGGAAGAGGAATCGGAGGAAGAAGTGCAGGACAGACCGGAGGAGCAGGCGGAGGAGGTGATAGATGCAGAAGCGGCGGCTTCGACCCAGGAAGAGCAGGAGGAGGGCGAGGATTGGCGAGCCGGTGCTGCGGCCAATTGGCAGTGGCAGTGGCAGGACGGCACGGAGGACGGTGTGGCTACAACATTTTTTGGTTTAGGGTTTAGGTTAGAAATATAGAAAAGGGTTCAGGGTTACCGAAACAC